GTGTGTGTGTGTGTGTGTGTGTGTGTGTGTGTGTTGCTGCTGCTGCTGCTGTTTGCTCCAGCTGTAGACCTCACTGAGTGTATAAATACAGAAACCAGCTGTCAGGCTTAATTTGATTTATTTATGGATCAAAACAAGAAATAAAAACAATCTAAAGATTTTATTTTAACAGATTCCATCGATTGTTCAGTAAACAAACACAAAGTGCAGAACCTGTGATAAAAACTGGTCCCAGGTCCTGACCCAGCAGCTTGTAGAGTCTGCTTCAGGTTCTGTTGGTGTCTCTCATGGTTGTGGAGGAGTTTTGGCCCACAGCTCAGGTGTCTGAAGGTCCCACCACAGGGTCAACTTGGGTCCAGAGGTTCTGTGGTTCTTCCAGATGAAACGGACCCAAGTTGTGCTGCCGTGCTGGATTTAGAGAGAAGAAGTCATGACCTTTGACCTGTTAACGTTCAGCGGAACGCTCGCGTGCCGTTTTTGTTTCGTTTTATTTTGAAAGGCCGCCCTGTGTTTCTCTTCATCCTGTGTCCGTGTTCAATGCATCAAAATGGACGTCTAGGCCCTTCTCTTTCGATTGACAACTCATTTGACCAACTGGGTTCAAGTATCGGCTGTCCAGAGCCAATAATATATGAGAAGTGACCAACTTCCGGTTTCCATCATCCTGAGTTTGATTGACTGTAGATTTGGCCAATCAGCTCCGAGCTTCGTTCTGATGCCACAGCTGTGTAGCCAATCACCGTACCTTTCATTTGGTGTATATATTGAGGGGGTGGGAACTTTGTTTAGTGACGGACGAGGATAATACGGAGGAGGTTGCCATATTTGGGCAGTATAGCTATGCTAACAATGGAAGCTACGCTCACAGGAAAATGTTCTTTTCCATCGTTTTTTGGCCAGTTAGCTGTCTAAACCTGCTGATAAGATGAAAATATATTTGTTATGAAGAGTTTCGAGTGCTTCAAGACATGGAAGAGTGATTTTTGTGGCCAGGAGAAGTAAAAATATTTGGATAAAAAGACTTCTGGTCGCCATTTTGAATCGCTAATTTTGTCATATTTGAGGACAAATATGCATCAAATGTGAGTAAAAAAACAAATATTTTTTTGCTGCTGGTGGTTTTATAAGCTGTGTGGAATGTTAATGCTCTGAAAGAAATAAGGATATATTTGTTTGTTCTTGTGGTTTGGCTGGTTATTGGTGGAAATTTGGCTGAATGTACTCCAGTTGGTCTAAATATTTCTGAACATTAATATATATTTTAATTTAATCCTGCTGTGAGTAAATATGGATGGTCGAATGTGTTTTTTGAGGGTTTTATCTTTAATTTGAGCCCAGTGTGAAGTCCCTGTGTTGAAGCATTTATAAATTACAGTGTTTTAGACAAACTGTACAGTTTGGACATACCGTACATGTGTACAAATGTACAAATGAGACATGCTGGATTGTACTATGTCTCAAATATTCATATTTTATGCTACTGTTACCAAATTTGAGCTGGTAATAGTTGGGAATTAATATTTTATCCTAGTAAAATTTGTTTGATAATATCTCATTCCCTTCATATTCTGTGATACTTTATTAATAAAAAGTWTAAATTTAGGGAGAAAAATATCTTGATTTTTGTGTATTTTACTTCATTATACTAAATACTAGTTACAGTTACAAAGAATATGACTGATGAAGTTAAAATTTCAGATTATTAGCTTTAAAAAGAGACCAAGCTTGTGAATTTACTCTAAAGGGTTCAAAAGCAGTACTTCATTTAATTTGTGTACTTTTTGAGGCGTTTTATGGTATTTTTGCCCGAAGGTTAACAGGTGAGATGATGACTCATTTATAATCTGATATTTAAAGAAGAACTTTGTTCTTTGTTGTAAAACTGAAGAAATAATTTAAACAGTTTGTTTGAGTTTGGTGGGTTCTCCTCCTGCAGGACTCTCCTCTGAAGGCCGTGCAGATGCTGTGGGTCAACCTCATCATGGACACTCTGGCCTCTCTGGCTCTGGCCACCGAACCTCCCACAGAGTCTCTGCTGCTGCGTAAACCTTACGGCCGCGAGAAGCCCCTCATCTCCAGGACCATGATGAAGAACATCCTGGGCCACGCCGTGTATCAGCTGACCATCATCTTCACGCTGCTGTTCGCCGGTGAAGCTCGTATGTTCAGAGCTCTGAGACGTGTGGATGAAACAGGTAGACTCAGTTTCTGCTCTCCTTCCTGTTTCTCAGGTGAGAAGTTGTTTGACATCGACAGCGGCCGTAACACGCCGCTGCACGCGCCCCCGTCAGAGCACTACACCATCGTGTTCAACGTGTTCGTCATGATGCAGCTCTTTAACGAGATCAACGCCAGAAAGATCCACGGCGAGAGGAATGTGTTTGAGGGCATTTATAAGAACCTGATCTTCTGTGGCGTGGTGCTGGGGACCTTCGCCCTGCAGGTAAGACATCAACCTGTAGTGCAGGTGGAGAGCTGATGAGCTAACGAGCTGACGAGCTCGATGACTCGTTGTACAGGTGTCAGTAAACAGGACTCTCAGAACCAGGTTCTGATCTGCTGCTTGTTTTAATGTTTCAACTCAACCAGATTTGATGCGTCTTTGGTTTGTTGCCATTTTAAAAACCGTCATATTTTACTTTTAATTAGAGCTGAAACGATTCCTCAAATAATTTGATTACAAAATATCCTCGAGGCAAATGATCTGCCTTGGAGCTTCGTATAAATACACACTGTTTTAATCAACACACTTTCATCCAGCCGGAATGTTATTTGTGTTACACAATGCTACAACGTTAGCGCTTCCGCTAACAGTTACACTGTCGACGTGTGTATGCTTGCTAAGAGCTACAGTATATTTAGCTTTAGAAGAAGATGAAGAGTAACGAAACAAAGCACTCAGAAAACAATAAACCATAAAAAACATGGGAACATTTAAAACTAAACAGAAAAGACGACAACGCACAATGCTCTGCACATCCTCGATGTTTCTGCACCGGAACAAAAACTGCTGCGTGTACCGAACACATCCTGAGTTAACAACAGGTATCGTTCACATTACCTTTGGTTACCTAATCTGTGATAATCTGTCAGGTTACAGATGTAAAAGGAGGAGGTATATTTAAGTTAATATTATTTGTGCTGACTAATCATGGTGACCTGGCAGGGTTTTATTAAACAGTGTGTAAGTTGTGCGATTAAAAACAAGACTTACTGTAAGTTTGTCAGATAAAAATAAAAACACAACAGATCGACAGCTTGAGCTGAAACACATTAATTTGTTATGTTTTTATCTTCATTTAAATGATACTTGGAGTAAATATTTCAAGTTTAAAAGTATTTATAGAAGATAGTTGGATTTATTAAATTATTTGCTGCTGCTTTTTATGATTTTAGCRTTCATTACTACTGTCATATTTGTTTGWAGCRAAGCAGTCAAGACTAAATCTTTAAATGGGAACCCTGCACCAACCTAATAACAGTCTTAAAAAATAAGATTTTTTTATTACAATTAACAAGTGAACTCTACAAAACTAAACTGCAACACCCCAATGTTTATATTACCCATTTTACTTGTTACATTTCTAAAAAACATTCAGCTTTCCAATCCATAACAATACATTTACAACATTTTTATTTTTCTGTGATTGTTTAAAATGATTCAGTGTTTTTAATTAATGCCTCCTCAAACCTCACACACATAAATACAAACAAATGGAGCTTAAAATGCATTAATTAATACAACTGATGTCATTTTATTTAGATTGCAGCAGGGTCACCAGCAGGTGTAGATTACCCCTTCACAATATTAAATAACTGTATTTCTCATAAAATAATTTAAAATAATTACTGCAGAACATGACAATTTTTTTATATACGATTACTCGATTAATCGTCAGAATAATGGATAGATTTATCGACTACTAAAATAATCATTAGCTGCATCCCTGCATGTTTTTAATCAACTTTAAATCTCAGTTTAAGAGTGACTCATTGATGATGTCACTCCTGATCACAGGTTGATCTTGGAGATAAAACTTGTCTCTGCTTCCTGCTCTAATGAAGAAGAAGATTTCTAACTGTTTCTCAGGGACAGATCTGTGCTTCGAACTGGAGACAGACAGGATTTATTTAAACCAATAACCCAAACTGTGTTTTTATTTCCCTCTCAGGTGGTCATTGTCCAGCTGGGGGGCAAGCCGTTCTCCTGCCACCCTCTGACCCTGGACCAGTGGTTGTGGTGCGTGTTCATCGGTGTGGGCGAGCTGCTGTGGGGACAGGTGAGACCAGAGCCCACGCACATCCAGCAGCAGCTGTGATGTTTGTTCAATCTGCTGCTGCGTGAGAAACGCTCTCACTGCTGCAGCGTTGCCATCGCGACCATCGGCATGGCAATAAGCTCGGCACATGAAAGCAGCGACTCCTGCTCACGAGCAGCGATCCTGTTACATTCACCAGCTGAGAGACGTTCATCTAGACCTGCTGCCTGCAGACTGAGGCAGAACTGGAGAACAAAGAGTTAAAGATGCTGACAGAAACACTCTGAGCTCACCTCAGGATTTATTTTAAAGTGACAGAATTTAAAAAGTAAATCTCTCACACTGTGAGAAGTGCATTTATTTTTAACGCAACTATAAATAAATAATGATCCTAAAACAATACTGAGAAAAACAATCATCTGATGCTAAACTCAAAACTGTTGGTTCAAAATATAACAATTAACTTATAACTATGAAAAGATTTTATCTGCTTTTACAGCTAAAACGAAAAAAATCATCAATTAACAAACTTTAATTAATATATCTGAAAACTATTGACGCATTTATACATTCATAGATAAATCCAGTGGTGGGCACAGTTCCCCTAAAGCACTAAAGCYCTAATAGGGGAACTAATTTCGTGATTAGTGCTTTAGTGCTCTTGCTAATTTCTTAATTCATTAGTGGATTAGCACTTGCTAAATTTATAAGCACTAACTGAGCTCTTTAAATATTATTGATCAACATTATTGATCAACAGCTGAGGGTGAAATCTGTCAGATGTGTTGTTCATGTGTCATTTATCCACTACATCAGTGGTTTTCAAACTTTTTGCTTCCGACCCACAAAATACCAGCTGCAGACACTCGTGACTCCAGATATTACTTTTTTATGTAGCAAATTTTGCTAATAACTCTGTTAAACATGGGAATAATAACTATAAACAAACAACTATGATACCAATTTTTAGGCATTTATGATCATTTAAAAAGTTGCAATCATGATAAAAATATTTCATTAGCATTTTTTTGCATTTAAATTGATGTTTGGAAATCATCTGGGGACCCTCACTTGATGTTTTGCGACCCACAAAGAGGTCCGACCCCTACATTGGGAACCACTACACAAGATGAAATATTAACAATAAATAATATAACAATATTAACAATATTCTGGACACAGAAAATATTCTCCTGTTGATTCTGAGGAATGCTCCATGGGTCAGCTGGGTTTTTAGTGCTTTAGAATTAGGGGAGCTAAATATTAAAGTTAGTGCTTTAGGATTAGTGCAACTAATTTTTAGATTAGTGCCGCCCACCACTGGATATATTTCTTTTAGCTTAATTCATACTTTGTCTTTTCTAAGCTTGTTTAACAGATTATTTTTAAACAGTCGTTCAGCTTCAGACTCACTAAACATTTATTGACTGTCTGACAGTCAGCAGAACAGATTCATGCAGTTCCTTAAACAAACTGAAACACTTCCTGGTTTTTATGATCCCAGTCTGAGATTCTGTGTTCATAACAGGAAGATTAAAGATGAGAGCAGCTGAACCCGGCCGGTCGACCTCGTTTACAGACCTCACACTGACCTCTGAGCCCACCTGCTAACAGCTGTTCTCTCCAAACCTCAGCTGATCACATCCATCCCGACCCACCACCTCAAGTTCTTGAAGGAGGCCGGCCACGGCATCACCAAGGAGGAGATCCACAAGGAGGAGCTGACGGAGGACACGGACGAGATCGACCACGCAGAGATGGAGCTGAGGAGAGGCCAGATCCTGTGGTTCAGAGGTCTGAACCGCATCCAGACTCAGGTACCCCCGAGAGAGAGTGGTTACATGGTGACCCTGCAGGTCTTATTAGACTTGTTGGTTTAGTTTTCTCTGGTGATGATTTGTGTTTGATGTGGTGAAACAGAACAATCTTAAAGTGTCTGTGACCTCAAATTTTTATAATTCATATGAATGCATTTTTAGAAAGAGGACATTGATAAAATATTGTGAAATAAATTTAATTTTGCTGAGATGAACAGCTGTTGAGATATTTGCGTGTGAAGAAACAGGAAGTGATGTCATAGGGGAATGTCTGCATGTGAACAGAGCGTTGTTACAACAGCCAATAACCCAGACTGTAGAGAAGAATCTGATGTTTTTTAAAATTATTTTGAGTCTCTATCAGAGAGATGACGAAGAGTTCAAATATTGTTTCAGTAAATAAAGACCAGAAAGTTTTCTTTGTTAAAGAGTTCCCCTTTGATGTCACTTCCTGTTTCACTTTGGCTGAGCCAAGTTCAAAAGAAAATATGACAGTTATGAGACCAAATAGGTTAAATCTTGTGTTTTACTCCAACTTTCTTAAACTTTGACTTTTTGTATTTGGAGAATATACACGTCACAGGCTCTTTAAAGAAGTGAAGAATAATCTAATCTAATCTGAGCTGCTTTAACTTTCAAACATGGCCGCCAGCATCCTCCACCTGAGTGTAGACTTCTCCTGGGTTTGTTCATGATCCACAGAACCTCATGACCCGGTTCATCTCCTCACAACACAAACTGCTGCTCTTCAAAGAACAGAAGATATCCAGAGTGGAGATTAGACCACAGACACACACAGACACACACAGACACACACTCTGCAGCTGCAGTCCAGTTAATTTCACACTCTGCTGCTGATCTTCACCACAGAACCACTTCATTAAAACACAAATTAAAAACTGAGCAACAAAAAGCTTTTTGAAGATTACGAGTCAGTAAAGCGTCACTGTAAGCTGTTTCATCTCTTCTTCTTCTGTTTTTATTGTTTTTACTGTAAAACTGAGAGAAAACTGACTTCAACACCTCAGAGTAATAAATATCTTACCTGTTGTAGATTGACATTATAACAGCTTATTTTAATCAGCCATTTACAACAGAAACGTTGATGTGACGAAGCTTATTTATGACCCCCACACGGGGGTCCTATTGTTTTCATACTTTTTATTTTATTTATTTATTTATTTACTTACTTTTATTTTATTATTTATTTTATTTTATTTTGTTTTTATTTTATTTTTTCAAGATTTTAGATCAAAAATAAAGGCTGCACTGATCAAGATGAAATTTGTCAGGACTGTAGTTGTGTCTGACCTACACTACACCAGCCAATGGTTTTACCATAGACCCCATAGTTGGGGAGGGGGCTCCATCTGAAATGGGGCGTCTGGACGTATAAAAATGCTCATAACCCCAAAACTGCTCAGCATGGGAGCTTCAGATTTTTTTGTTGCTCAGTATTGATAAAGGGCTGTCCATCGAGCCCACCAATGAGTCCCCGGACCCCCACCCAAAACAATAAATCCTTTCTGGTGACGTCTGTGTGGGGCTCATACAGTATATGCTCCTGTTATGAGCTACATTATTACAGTTTATTTTATTTATTGTTACTCACTGTGAATATACTTTACATCTGATAAAACTTTTATAGACAGGTGCTTCTGTGTGTGTGTGTGTGTGTGTGTGTGTGTGTGTGTGTGTGTGTG